AAACAAGTGCCAGCCCCGCTGCCAAAAGCCCTCGGGATGAGGCAGGTGCTGGCAAGTGCGGCGGGAGGCTCCCGGCTTTCCCGGGAACGCGGCGCCCGTCGACGCTTTCCAGCCACCCAAAGCTCGCCGGAGACTTTTCTAATGGAGCGAGCAAAGGCTGGCGTAGCTGCTGGGGTTGGTGCCCGAGGAACACAGGCGGCTGGAGCCCCGTGAAAGCCTGGGAGAGGCAGCGTGATGGAGAAAAAGAGGAAAAACCAACCCAGAAACGCGGGGCTGAGGGATATTTGGGAGGGAGCCAGAGAAAATCCTTTCCAGCCTTTCCCGGATCCCAGGGATGAGCTCGAGCTGCCCCATCCCCTTCCCCACGGCCCCCTCCTCCTCCCCCAAAGCGTTTGGGCGGGGAAAGCTGGGGAGAGCTGGGAGCAGAGGCGACGGAGGAGGAGGAGGACGGAGGGAAACCCCCGCTTGCGAGTCACCTTAACGCGAGCGGATCAGGAACAGGGGTCTCGAGCAGGGGCCGCTCCGTCCCTCTGCCGCCCTCCTGCCCGTGGGATTTAGCCCCTCGGCTGCAGGGAGCGGAGAGTGAGGAGGGAACGTGGGACGGGCTCTTGTTAAGCTGGGAGCAGAGGCGACGGAGGAGGAGGAGGACGGAGGGAAACCCCCGCTTGCGAGTCACCTTAACGCGAGCGGATCAGGAACAGGGGTCTCGAGCAGGGGCCGCTCCGTCCCTCTGCCGCCCTCCTGCCCGTGGGATTTAGCCCCTCGGCTGCAGGGAGCGGAGAGTGAGGAGGGAACGTGGGACGGGCTCTTGTTAATTACAAAAAAAAAAAAATATAGTAGAGGCTTATAAACAAATGGAGCTGGTATTTAACAGATGAGCGGACTTGGGTCCGGGATGCGGGCGGGCATTTTTGTTGTCGTCGGGGGAAATAAATCCGGCCCGCGGCTGAAGCAGGGCTGGAGCAGATTCCTGCTCAACTTCAGCACGAAAAATGGTCTGTAAATAGGGACGCGCAGCCCCAAAACAGCCGGAAAGCCTGCGGAGAACAACTAATGCGTTTTAAAGCTCAAGGGGCCGGTAGGTAGAGGCGGGTGAGGGTCACATCGTTAGTCCGAGACGTGTTTCAGCCTCCGGAGATCCTCTTAACTCGTTAAGGTGGGGGGACCCAGCGAGGAGCCACCGCTGTGCCCACATCGCGGGGACGGGGCAGTCGCTGGCGCAATTCCCCCCGCAGAGTTTAAAGGCAAAGTCCGCTGGGGCTCTGCTTTATGGCTGCCGCGGGCTCTGCCCTCCTCCCGAACGCGAGGAGAAACCCCTGTGTTTTTGGGGCTGGGAAAAGGGGGTTTAGTTCTTAATACGTCCAAGCGGACCCCCCCCTTTGCCTGCCTCTTCCAGCCAGCCCTTCTCTGCAAAGCTGCAAACCAGGAGCGCGAGGGGCGGAAGCCTGGGGAGCGTGTTTATCTTTGATTTCAATTAAATCCCGGCAGCGTTCACTCTGCCCGAGTAACGCGGCCGGCAGCGATGTGCTGGATATCGTCAGGCTCCGACGGTGGCGAGGCTGAGCGGGGCCGGAGGGGACGTAACCGCCAAGGGACACTATACGCAGCCTCGCCTGCCTCCGCCTCCCCTTTTATCCACAGCTTTTTATCGCGGTGGTAACAATAATGCAGTAAATAATACCAATAATAATGCAGTAAATAAGAAGAATGCAATAAATAATAATAATAATGCTGCAATAAATAATAACGACGCAGTAAAAGCTAAAGGGGACCCAGGAGGAGGAGGAGGGAGATGGCTCAATCCAGACCCCCTTTGCAGATGTGCTTTTACCGGCTGCATTAACAAGCAATTAGACTTTCTGAAGGAGAAAAGCGGCGTCGGGGAGGGATGGAGCTGCCGGCGCAGCCGTTAACCTGCCCCCACCGTGTTCCCCGTACCGGGGAGCAGAGCAAACCCCGGCGCTGGCAGCAAGCGGGCAGCGATGCCGGCACACCCAGCCGCGCGTTTGGCTCCTGAAGGAGTTAAGTCTGGGTTTCTGCACCCTCCTACCTGTGCCAGCCTTTGCCTGTCCCCCATCCCCTCCCCAGCGCGAGGAAGAGGAGGGTGAGGGAGTCTTTGCCGCTACGCTACCGCCCCAGGGACTTACTCACCTCGTGTAGGTTCAGCTCCTTCACCTTTTCCTTGAGTATAACCTGTAAGACAGAGCGCCGGGGTCAGGACACAGCTTTTGCCGAGAGCGTTCGCAGCAAACACCTCCGTAGACGGCGATCCCATTTAGCGTCCCAGCAGAGCTGGAAAGCCCCGGTGAACCCGGCACAGCCACGGAGCGCATCAAGTCTTCGCCCCTGTGCAGGCACAGGAGGAAGGCAGCGCTGGCACAGCTGTAACCACTAACACGAGGACCAAATCCAGGAGGTCTCCTCCCGAATTCAAACCTCCTGGGCTCCTACGCTGTGCAGCGAGCGACGCCGATCTCTTGGCTGTGTTTATTTTAACGAGGGCGCCGGCGCGTGTGGGCGCATGCAGAAAGCAGCTGGGTTTGCCGAGGTGACGTGGAGGTGTTCCCTACGAGAGCCCCACGGCCGCGGGTGGTCCAGAGCGGCCGGGTCCGAGCCGGGGAGGCCACAAAAACATCGTTTGATTGCTGGGGAAGCGATGGCATTACTGCTCGCCAGCGGGAAATGAGGTGAGGGTTTGGAGAGGCTGGGCAGCCGAGGTGCTCCCGGGGGGGCCACGTCCCCACCGCCCCGGGACCCCGGCTGAAAACGCGGGGGGGCCACGTCCCCACCGCTTGGGGACCTCGTCTGAAAACGCGGGGACCTGCAGACTAACAGGCGAGGGATGCTCCCGGGGCGCCCAGCTGGCAGAAAAAAAAATTAAATCAGCGGGGACAGAGGTTTGCCCAGGCGTTAACAACTTCTCTTCGAAGACCAAAGGCCTCCCACGGAGAAGAACAGCACGAGGAAACCCGATGGAGGGACTGCTCCAACGCGGATTTGGCACTAAGCAGAAGGGAGGAAGACGACAACTTACTGGGTATCATCTCACCTGTTTGTAGGCGTAAAGCTCTTTGTGTGCTTGATGTCTGAGCCTGCAATCAAAACAGGGAGAAACGTGAAGACAGGCAAAAAAACCAGGATTACTGTAACACCTCAAACATTTCATTTCCTTCCTTTCCAGATTTAATTCTTTTTTGTTTAATTTTTCATTTCGGAAACGAGGATGGCCACACAAAACGACGCATTTAAGCAACAGCCAGCCTTCCCTGTAGCTGGGAAGGCAACGTCTCCATCCAGAAGCACCCAACCTCCTCCCCTTCGCCTCTTTTGACCGCCCTAATTTTCCACGCAGACATCACCTGCGCCGTTAAGATCAGCAAAAGCTGTTGAGTAAATCAGGAGCCGCCATAAATACCCCCAGTTTCCAACCGCTTCTGCTGCCAACAATTTCTAGACTGGACGCGGCACCTTCTTCCAAGCGATGGGTATTCAGACCCGAGGAAAGCTCCACTCCCAGTGAGGATGGGGAAGGAGACCTCCCCACTCAGAGGTCTCCCACCGAAGCCCCCGTCACGCTGCTTGGGCGACGCTGGGTTCCTCAAACACAGCTTTGTCTTCAATTCTAAGATCACTCGTCCTGCTCCTGCCTCCCAAACTCTCAGGAAGACGCATGCAACAAGAGGTCACCCACCCGGCTGAGCAAGCAGAGGACAGCTCTTCGTCCGAAGGCAACACCGGAGCAGGAAGCTTTGGAAGAGAAGCAACGGGACGTCTGCCGTCTCTCGCCGCCTATCGCAGGGGGCAATTTAATGGCCAGAGAGAACGAGCTGCCAAAAACCGCGGGAGAATGAACCCCTGTCTTGGGGTTTTGGGGGTTCTTCTCAGGAGAGCAGGCGGGGGTGTGCTGCGTTCAAGCACGGGGTGCCAAGCCCGTGCTGACCCAGGGCGCTCCCTGCCCCAGGGAAGGAGCCGGGGCCGTAGCTGACGTGGCGGTGGAGCAAAATCAGGATTATAAGCTGTTTCCCCCCACCTACCTTTCAAAGCACTGCGCTCAGCACAACTTTGGGGTTTGGGGCAGGGTTTTTTTTTTTCCCCTAACCCTAGCATCCATTCCTGGAGCAAATCAAGGGATGGACATGGAGGGGATGAATCTATTCCCAAAACGCCTGCCGCGGTGGGAAGTCCAG